TTGCCATAATTGATTTTATGTGCTTTTTTGGATCATGTCACTTGTCAGAATTTACCCTCATGGATGTCAGATGTTAGTATCCACAGCGTAAGGCATCAAAGCTTTGACTAGAAGGCTCTGTTGACCTATAAGCACTTAATGACTGGCCCCTCGGGAAACAGTGAGTTTTGTTCCCTAAGACTCTCGATGTTCCCAAGGGGGAAGCCTTGAGGGTCAAGGGGAAACAAATCTCACTGTTTCCTGAGGGGCCAGTCATTAAGTGTTTTGTTATACCTCCCGACTCAAAAATAAAAAAAAAAAACTGCGAAAAAGTGATTTGCTTGACGTCTACAGTGGCTGTGCCAGCAGTACAAGTGGCAGTCAAACCAAGCTGTCCTACTGAAACGACACAATAACAGTCTTTTTCTTCGCAGCTAACAAAAAATAAAGACATTACTAAAGTTGCTTTGCCTTCTTGTGATGCTTAACTCATGAATTCTGGGTTTGATTTGAGGAGGAACAACATATTTTGATGTAAATGACACAACTGTTTTCCTACATGACGAGGGCAATTGAAGTAGTCGAAGAGCAATTTGCCGAACGCGGGCAACCCATTTTTGGCGCCAAGTTAAAAACTTGGAGACACAAACCCTTCAAATTTTCCCCTTTGTTAATCTGATATGTTTTTGCAATTACAAATCCCTTTTCTTGAATAATGAATGCCTTCTCTAGTGAGAAACGTTGCGTGACTTCAGTGGTATTTTGACATCAGGCCGACTGGCACACAAATTTGCCACTGTTTCAAGGTGCACAACCTGATCAGGTGCGAGTCAAAAGTTCAAGTTTTTGTTTCCCTAGGGAGTTAGTGAGTTTTGCTCGCCCTAGGGAGTTAGTGAGTTTTGACCCATGACACGTGACATGTTCTCCTCCAAACAGAAAATGTATTTGAGTCAGGAGGTATAACAATGCCATTTATTCACCTTTTTCAGGGTTATTGGTCCTTCCGGCCGTGGATGGAAGTGGATGGTTATAGAGTATGGCAAGTTGGATACTCGTTACTGGCGAACTAAGGATCCTTGTGTGATGCTCATTTCCTACATGGAACTGGTTATCATGGGGCCTCTATGCATTTTATGGTACAGTACAGTTTGTGCTATTATTAATGAAAAACCTGTAGAAAGTAAGTTTTTGAGAAGTTTCGAGTACCTCTAAAGGGTTTTGTATTATTAAGAGATTTAATTTGATTTTTTTAACTATTTTAATGTTGCAGAATTGCATTCGGTAACTAAACATAATCTAAGTAGCTTCATTTACTATTACAGTTGAACCTCTCTAAGAAGGACACTGAAGGGACAGAGTGAAGTGTCCGTATTAGAGAGGTGTCCATCACGGAGAGGTCATTATGATGAGGTCACTTTTAGTCTCCTCTGACAGTTAAGAGTGTATTGTATTTGCATTTGTAAATGTAAGTTTTGAAAACTAGCATTTTGACATATTGATATCATTTAGTGTCAATGTTTGTGTAACCACCGACAGGAAATGGTAAATACTGCAAATTATCCACACCTGGTCCCTGGAGTGTCGGTAATAAAGATGTTAAATTTGCATGAATTTGCTCCCTAGGGCCAAGATTTAGTGTCCATTGTCTGTTTTAGGGAGGGTCTGTATTATAGAGGTTTTTTTTTATAGGAAATGTATGGGAATTTTGTCGGTACAGAGGAAACTGTCCGTATTAGAGAGGTGTCTGTATGGAGAGTTTCAACTGTATTGTGATTGTGATTAAAACTAATAATTTAACTTTTGTTACATTTTGCAGTTTAAGCAGCACTATTTGGTTCAAAATATGTTTCGTTCATCAACATTATTACAACAAATTAATGTTGCAAATTATTTTTTATAGTTCATCAACAAACTTTTAAATGGTCTGTCATCAAACTTACAAAGTCAAGTTGGGACATTAATTCATGTGGTCTGAGAGTTTGCTGTCAAAACTTGTAAAACTTACAAAGGAATCACCGAGCATTTTTTGATTACCGGTAATCATCACCAATTTTATGAGAGATACAAGACTTATTTTATATCAGTAGAGAAAGTGACACTGCTTGCATTCAAATGACAACAGCATTTGGTAATTTTAACAGGTACAGATCTATTGTCAAAGATCTTTGGTGGCGCCATTTCATGTCCATCTTAGTGTCTACTTTTCAACTTATGGGTGCCATCTTATATTGTACCACAGAGATTTATTGCGGCTTCAAACATGTTACAGTGGTAAGCAAAACACTCCACAGTACAGGTAAAGTCTCCAGTCTCTAAAAAAGATTGGAGAGCTGTTATTCTGATCATGGGAGTTATAACTAAATTTACCAAGGATCAAAACAAAAAGTCTTCTTACTGATTGTCTCGTGTTTCTTTTATGTAAGTTCTGAGAATGTGGTTTTAGATCATTTTTAACAATTCAAGACAACGAGCCTGAGTTTTCTACGAGCAGATGGTCAATGAGGCACAGCCAAGTTGACTATCGCTCGTAGAAAACGAGGGTGAGTGATGTAATTGTTAAATTGCCTAAATTTAGCATAGTTTCACTGCATAAATTATGTTCAATTGCATGTAGAAAAGAACTGTTTTATTGTGAACATTACATCGACCAATTCAAATGGTTTCACACATTGTATGCAGTGTGCACCGATGCAAAAGAAAAAAAATCAAATGTACAGGAAGTAAATGTGTGTAACTGTTTTCTACCAGTAGAGCTAACCAACTGACAGACTCACAATAGACTATGTTAAATTTATTCTTTAGGCAATAACTCATAGTTGACAATTTTCTTTATTGTGTAGTTCCAGAAAATATTAATACCTACCCCCACGGAAGGGATTTTTTTTCTAAGATGCCCCACCCCTCTGGAAATTCTAAGTTCTTTAAGTGTTTTGGTCTTAGAGAACCCCCACCCCCAGGAAATCCCAATCCCTGCTGTGGCAAGGGTATGGATATTTTCTGGAACTACACATTGTTATGGCTTGTCATCTTGGCTATGTTTTGTTCTTGTTATGGGAAATTTGTCGTTGAGGGCAACAGAAAGTCAAAAAGGTAAATCTTATATGCTTGGCAACTTGAGGTTCATCTTTGTATTTCTACAGGACTGGCCACCTACCTTTGACAGTTTTGAAAAGGTTTTCTACTTCTGGACTATCTTTGTGTTTGCTAACAGTATCTGGATTGTTGTTCCAACCACTATCATGTTACAGACACTCTCAGAGATGGGGGGAATCTATAATCCTCCTTGCTCAAGTGCAAAGAAACGTAATTAACCTTGGTACAAAGTCATAGTGTTGAGAGCTGTATAAGTGCTCAGTTGTGTTATAGCATTTGTTTGTTTGTTTACATTTTAATGTATTAAGCAGGATACCTGCTGTAATGTTTTAGATAGTACAACTACAATTGGCCATTTCACAGTTGTGTTCAGTTACCTGGTGCATAAATACAAGTGAGGCTGGAGGTGACCTTGTTTTGATACAGACCTCTCTGCTTTTGTTGTTCTTATGCTAACTAGTTTGAGAAAGGTCACATCAAAGTCCACATCACTTAGTGGACAACTGGGCCTATGTAGGTGGTTGAAATTTCAGTTTATTCATCTTTCACTCCTTGCATGAGAACACCATTGAACATTTGGTTCCATACAATCATATTTAATTAAACTCTTACAGTAGTGCACAAGAATTTATTGACAAATGATGTAAATCCAATCACGAATAAAAAATACACTAAAATTGCTTAATCACTCAGTGGGAGCCAGCCTCTTAATTGTTTTAATTTATATTATTTTGTTGATTTCTAACAATAAGGATTGTTTGCAGTCCAACTTGGCAAAAGCAGCATTGCTCCAATTAACAAAAAGCACCAGCCCAATTTAATTTGGGTAACTGTAGAGTAATATAATAATAATTATCATTCTACAGTTGTCCTAATCAGTGTTGGACCTAATCAGTGTTCGAAACTAAAATTTGACAGCACTCATCATTCAGGTGAGTGACTCCAAATTGACTTGCCGAGAATAATTTCCACTTGTCCAGAAAGATCCCCCCCCCCTACCCCAGAAAGTCTCCACAATGATTCACAAATGCGTTTTTCGATATCCTGTAATCACGGAGGCCCTGCTTCAGTGCCATTTCGTGTTGAACTTTCTTGTTCTGGTCCATTTTCAAGACACCTCCTTGGGATGACGGATCCATTTTGACTAGTGTTTCACCCTCGTATTTGTCATCAAATTTTGACACTCCTTGGAAATTTTTCACATTAGTGATTTCCATAGTTTTAACTGAAAAACAGCTTAACGAACTGCTGTGGTCAACTTGTCTGCACGTGGAAGACTGACGTTTTTCCTTCAATGAAAAATTATTATACTAAAAGACTTTTAAAAAACCCAAAGATAACTACAACAAAGTCACTTAAACTCTCAAAGCAGTTTGTGTATCAAGAAAAATCTTCGTGAGATTCGTTTCTTAGCGAGCAAACATCCTTGTTGCCATTGTGTGCCATCTTCACTAATAACTGTTGGCTCAACTAGAGACCAGCAGTGCATATATCACTTCCTACATGTGTAACCATCATGTAAATTATCACAGGAGGAAGCTGCACTTCATTTTGTCTATTTTTGAAACATTATGTTGTGTATTACATTGGCAAATTACTTGGGCATCTTGGAAGATAAAAAAGATTAAAAAAAGCACTGGTAAGTTCTCGTTCTGAGATATTCTGGAAATAAAATGGAAAATAAAAAGGAATGTTATCAATCTTTAAGCTTAAAATAATATTTTCCCAAAAATGAAAATCGTATTCACCAAACGGATGAATGATCAATGACTTGTACTCGCCCAATGCTTTTCACATTCATAATAGCAAGTGGGTGAGCGCTAATTTCCACACTGGCCCTAATTTGAAATTATATTTGTTGAAGTCGCATGCAAAACAGAAAATTTCACCCAAACACACTTATCACTCACTCATCCAGTGGGAACCATTTTAATTGTTTGGGTTTTTTTCAATTCAAAGTCATCTCATGTCAGTTTATTGGCTATCTGAAAATGGCTGTTCATTTATTACATTTGGTTTGCCATTGTTCATTTGGAGAATTGCAATTCTCATTGGCTGTCCTATAGCCTGCAAACGCAGACGTATTTCCAGCTGTCACTTGGTTCCGCTGAAAAATAACGTCTGCGAACCCGAGCCAGAAAACGATTTCTGTGACATAGGAATTCTAAGCCAATCACAGTTTAGCTCAAATAACCCCAAAACTATTGCACGAGGTATTCGCTGCGAGGAGCACTCGAGTTTCATTCTATCGTGAAATCTGATTGGCCAAGGAGAAACAAAAGTCATTACGTCACAGAAATCGTTTTCTGGCTCGGGTTCGCAGACGTTACTTTTCGACGGAACCAAGTGACAGCCGGAAATACGTCTGCGTTTGCAGGCTAGCTGTCCTACAGCTACATGTAGACCTCATAATTTTCAATTTCAGCCCTGCACATCTGCCAGTAAGTTGATCGCTTAAAGGCAAGTTATGATAATTTTAATGTATATGTTGTGGTTTAAGTTTGGTATTTTTCTTTGTTCTGGTTTATGATAATATATTGTATATGAAACAAAGGTAAATACCAAATTGTACAAGGGTAATAATAACATGCAACATGTATATAAATAACCAAATTAATTCCCCCTGGAATTTCTAAGATTTTGTTACCACTGGGAAATTCTTAAGACGACTTCACTCTTTTATCAGATAGTCCCCCACCCCCTGTTTGGCCCCAGGGTTCAACCCTAAGGGGAAGACGGTGATAGGCAGTTTTTTCTTTGATAAATAGTATCTTGATAGCATTATTAGCCTTGCTGTTGTTGGCATTCTTCACCCAGCTTATCGTCAAGTGTTGGGTCCTTTAGACTTTTTATTCGTTCCATCTCTGCAACTGACCATAGATAGTGATGCATCTCTACTTCTGCGATGTCCTGTTCATCTAGATCCTCCCTCTCGCCCTCAGGATCACACTGTGAACTCTGAAGATTACACATTCTTGACTCAAAGTAGCCATCCATCAGCTCTTCTTCAGAGTAGCCATTCTTAAGGAGACTCTCAATAAGAATATCATTGTCATCTAAATCATTGTACTTTGCCGAATCATCTAAAGGACCTTCTGTACAGCTGTTATTGTGAATGCAAGCTGAGACATCTGAACTGTCAGTGCTTGGACCAGCTGTTTGTGTTGATGAGCTAGTTCCTGGTTGTATCACAACCACTTCATCCTTGCTTTGGTGACTTGATACAGCGTTTGGGAGGGAATGGTCGCTGTCAGGTTTGCTAGATTCATTCGAGCTACACTCTTGTTGTCTTTGTTCTTTGTCTAATAACCGGGCCTTAGCCTTTTGTATCTTTGTCTTCCGATCCTGCTCGGTAATTTCTTTCTGTTTCATTCTGTTAGACTTGACTGTGGATAAATCCAGGTTTACGCAATTCTTGTGAAAATTGACTATGTCAATGATGTGCCTGGTAATGTACATCGGCTTCACAGATTGTGGTATCCAAGGTACCTCTCTGGCGAGATCAACTAAACCTTTTCTCGCATTTTTTGTTTGGTTTGCCACCTGCGCCTTTGTCACAGAATGTTTTCCTAACACTGCTGCAATCTTTTCCTTGCTGGGGGTAATGTTCTTACACTCCAAAACCAGAAGCACCAGACACGTGGCTGCTGCGGGATGATTTCTTCCTCCTATTAAATTGAAGTATTTAAAAATGTGCCACAGGTCGAGGCAAAGCTTCTCGCAGGACTTGTCCGCCACAGACAACTGTGAAAGGACGCTTATCACCATGGACTCGACACCAACATATTCGAGCTTGATGTCGAGTGCCTGCAGAAGAATTTTCACAGATCTTCCAAGTATAAACATGTTGCATTCTGCAACTTCAGCCATGCGTTTGTATGTTAACTGCAAGTTATTCTGTCTGCATACGATGAACAAACAGCAAGCGGTAAGGACGTTTCTCCGGCGTGAAATGCGTCGAATTTCCCCAGAGTTGACTTTTGGTGCAACGGTGTTTAACAAGAGTTGCCGTGCTTCGTTGAGAATTTCGTTAGACAGGTTCATGCGCTTTCCCTGAAGGTATAGGCACTTCTGAAGAAGTTTTTCTGTTACTGAAGTGTCGCTTGTTGGCAATCGTTGCCTTACCTCTTTAGACAACTCGTAACGACCATCAAATCTCGCTGTACCGTCAACGTTCATATAAGTCCAGCCACCTGAACTGTCGGCTTCACAGCTGAATACTCTGCTCTCGACCACAGCTCCACATTCATGACACACTAACTCTCCTCCTGGTTCCGTATCAACCGCTATTTCATGGCAAGAGGGACATTCAGACGGCATTTTGGTCGTACAGTTGCACAGTTGCCAAAATAATCTGAAAAACGTCAAACGTCCAGTAAACGAAATCTTGCTTTAATGTCCCAGGCGTTCGAAGACACTAGTGCCAAT